CCCGTCGCTCCTCGGACACCGGCTCCATTCCACGGCGAGCAGTACGAAGACGTCGAAGACTGGATTGACCAGTATGAACGCGTTGCCCGCCACAATTGCTGGACAGACGAGCAGCGCCTACACAATGTCTATTTTTCGCTTGAGGGGACTGCCAAGCACTGGTACGAGAATGATGAGTCCTCCCTGACGTCGTGGGACATTTTCAAGAACGATCTCAAGGCTACCTTCATCAACCACCACCGCCGAGAGAGAGCCGAGGACCTACTGCGAACCAGAACCCAGGGCCCCAACGAGAGTGTCACCGGATTCGTAGAGGACGTCCTGCGCCTGAGCGCCCGCGCCGACCCTCGGGCTACAGAGGAGAAGAAGCTACGAATCGTCATGCGGGGCGTGAGAGAAAACATCTTTGGTGGCCTTGTCCGCAGCCCTCCGACAACTGTCGAAGACTTTGTCGCCGAGGCAACGAACATCGAGCGTGCCCTGCAAGCCCGAGCCAGCCACTACCAGAGGCTACCCGGCGTCAGCGCGGTTCCGCCGTCCGCTTGCGACCTTGGCTCCAGCATCCCAAGCATTCGCGAGATCATTGGCGACGTCGTCCGGGAGGAGCTGCGAAAGCTACTACCCGCCGCGGACCGACCAGCTTCGCTCTCCATCGCTGAGGTCGTGCGGGAAGAGGTGCAGAGAGCCATTCAACCAGAGGCTCCCATCAGCGCAGCAGTCTCCGAAGAACCCGCGCTAACTTACGCCGCAGTGGCCCGACGGCCACCGCCTCCTCCTCGCGCCTATGTCGCGCCGCCCCGACGCCAGTCTCCTGCGCCGCAGCACGACCGACGCCACGACGACCAGCCCCAGTACGCCAGCCAGGAGCCCCGTGCACCCCGGAAGACCGATGTGTGGCGAACGCCCGACCGACGCCCTCTGAGCTTCAACTGCGGGGAGGCAGACCACACCTACCGCCGATGCCCATACCGTCGACTCGGGTTGCGCGGATTCCACCCAAGCGACCCTCGCCCCCGGTATGGTGAACGCCCTCGGGAGATCGACGAGTACCTGCGACGACCCCAGTCCCCCGAGCCTGCGTCACGCCGAGAGTTCCGGTCGCCGTCACCGCGACGTCCAGCTTCGCCGATGCACCGACCCCGACGTGAAAGCCTGTCGCCCCTCGCTCCCCGCCGGGGAAACTAGGCGCGGCAACCCCTGGAGGTGGAGTTGCCGAAGACGACCGACGTAAAGAGCCTCCACGAACGACGGAGCGCTCCCACTCTCCCGACGATACGCATCACAACGACGCTCCTGCTTCGGTGTCCAACAACTTAAACGTTGTTATTGACGGCCTCGACTCATCGGCACTCGTGGACACCGGAGCAGACTGCTCAGTCTTGAGTGGGAGGCTCTCTCGCCGCCTGCGAAAAGTCATGACGCCGTGGGATGGACCCGATGGGATGGCGAAACATCGCATTGTTACCGACGACGGCGCACTTCCTGTCCACCAGTCGCCGTATCGGGTCTCCTTAAAGGAAAGGAAAGTGATTCAAGATCAAGTCCAGGAGATGCTCGACGACGACATCATTCAACCCTCAAGGAGCCCATGGGCGTCCCCAGTCGTCCTTGTAAAGAAGAAGGACGGAACCCTGCGGTTCTGCGTGGACTATCGTCGACTGAACGCCGTGACAAAGAAGGACGTCTATCCGCTCCCCCGCATCGATGATACGTTAGACCGACTGCGCCACTCCCGATATTTTTCGTCGATGGACCTGAAGAGTGGTTATTGGCAGATTGAAGTCGACGAACGTGACCGGGAGAAAACTGCCTTCGTCACTCCCGACGGACTATACGAATTCAAAGTGATGCCGTTCGGACTTTGTACAGCTCCAGCCACCTTCCAGCGCGTCATGGACACCGTGCTGACAGGTCTGAAATGGCAGAGCTGCCTCGTCTACCTGGACGATGTCGTGGTATTCTCACGAGATTTCGACGAACTCCTCAGACGACTTCGAGCCGTGCTTCAAGCCATCAAGACCGCCGGCCTGTCACTCAAGCCAACAAAGTGTCGGTTCGCCTATGGGGAACTAAAGTTCCTTGGCCACGTCGTGAACAACAAGGGTGTTCTACCTGACCCCGAGAAGACCCGCGCTGTAGCTGCATTTACGCCGCCGTCTGACAAGAAGGCCGTGAGAAGATTTCTCGGACTCTGTGCCTACTACAGGCGCTTTGTTCGAGACTTCGCCGAGCTATCCGCACCGCTGACACACCTCACGAAGGACGCCGTAAAGTTCGAGTGGACAGAAGAACACCAGAGGTCATTCGACGAGCTCAAACGAAGACTCCAGACGCCCCCGATTCTTGGCCATTTCGACCAGTTTGCTGAAACCGAGATCCACACCGACGCCAGTAACACCGGACTGGGTGCGGTACTAGTCCAAGTGCAGGACGGAGCCGAGCGAGTTATCGCATACGCAAGTCGGACGCTGTCTAAAGCGGAGAGGAACTATTCAACGACCGAAAAGGAGTGCCTCGCTGTCGTATGGGCAATAACAAAGTTTCGCCCATATTTGTATGGAAGTTCTTTTCGCGTAGTCACAGACCACCACTCGCTCTGCTGGCTGGCGAATCTGAAGGACCCCTCCGGACGCCTCGCTCGGTGGAGCCTACGACTGCAGGAGTTCGACATGGCCGTGGTGTACAATTCCGGCCGGAAGCACAATGACGCCGACTGCCTGTCAAGGGCCCCAGTCGAGGCCGGTCCTGCCTGCACCAAAGAGGACGACGATGAGTGTTTCCTCGGCGCTCTGGATGTATGCGACATGGCAGCACTCCAACGAGACGACCCTGAGCTGCGAGCACTCATCGAACACCTAGAGGGGCAAGGAAGCGCCGTTCCCCGCGGTTTTGTTCGAACACTGCCAACCTTCTCCAATCCGACAAGGCGTACTGTACAAGGAGAACTTCAGCGACAGCAACACGGCGTGGCTGTTGGTGATCCCTTCCAGTCTTCGAGAAGAAATTTTTCAAGCCTGCCACGATGACTCGACGGCGGGACACCTTGGTTACAGCAGGACTCTTGCGAGGATACGCGAAAAGTACTACTGGCCCAAGCTTGCGAAGACAGTACACCACTACACCCGATCTTGCCACGAGTGTCAACGAAGGAAGAAGCCACCGACGAGACCGGCAGGACTTCTTCAGCCTATTGCGCCGCCATCTGCCCCATTCCAGCAAATCGGTATGGGTTTACTCGGACCTTTCCCACCGTCGACGCAAGGAAACCGATGGATAATCGTCGCAACCGATTATCTCAAGCGGTACGCCGAGACAAAAGCCCTTCCATCAGGAACGGCTGTTGAAGTCGCCAAGTTTTTCATCGAGTCCATTGTCCTCCGGCACGGCGCTCCCGAAGTCCTGATCTCAGACCGTGGATGATTATTCATGGCCCAGCTGACGCAAGAAGTCCTTCGTCTCAGCCACACCAGCCATCATCGCACCACGCCGTACCACCCGCAGACCAACGGGCTGACGGAGAGACTCAATAAAACCATCGCCGACATGATTTCCATGTACGTCGACGTAGAGCACAAGACATGGGACGAGGTGCTGCCGTACGTCACGTTTGCGTACAATTCAGCGGTTCAAGAAACCACGGGAATGACACCGTTCCAACTGGTACACGGCCGGACGGTTACCACGACGCTCGACGCCATGCTGCCTCACGTGCCAACCGGTGATGGCAAGGACGACGCTCAACTGATCTCCCAGCGCGCGGAGGAAGCTCGTCAGCTGGCAAGAGTCAAGATTCAAGACCAACAGCGAGTCGACGCACGCTGGTATAACCTTCGTCGCGGGGACGTCCACTTTCAACCCGGAGACCGGGTATGGGTTTGGACACCAATACTGCGCCGCGGTCTCAGCGAGAAACTTCCGAAACGCTACTTCGGACCCTACAAGATCATCCGACGCCTCGGCGATCTTAACTACGAAGTCCTTCCCGACGGAACGCGCCCATCTGCAAGACGTCAGCCGCGACCCGAGGTGGTGCACGTCGTCCGGCTGAAGCCGTATTACGAACGATAGAACTTTCCACCCTCGTCGACGGGTGAACTGTGAACGGTGAACTGCGGCTCGCGATTCTGCTGCCTTTTTGTTTTGGATTTGTTTTTGTTTGTTGTCTTTTTCGTTTTGTGCTGCATCGGGACGATGCACATATTTAAAAGGGGGGGATAATGCCGCGCGCAGGCTCACAGACTTGTAGAAAGTTCTCGTTTGTTCTTGCTGCGGACATAACTATCGTTTATCCCTGCTTTTGTTGTTCTAGCAAGTGCTTGTTCATTCTCGCCCCGAGCGCGCTACGCTCGAACCTTCTCCGCCGAACCTTCGAGATAGTGAGTCACTCTAGATAAGAGGCCGCCCGGGACTTTGTGAGTCAGTTTCGCCCCAGGGCTCGATTCTGCTGTCTCGCCGACCTCGACGCTCGCGACGCTTTGTTATTATTTTCTATTCTCTTTTTGTTTTGGCACAAGTTCGCCACATTAAACGTTTATTTATTCCTGTTTATTTCTTGTTTATTAGTCACCACCCGTGACAATATTCACTATATTTCATACATCCATGAAAGAACTAATATAGTGAGCGTGTACATAAGGATGCATTCTTTGTTTTATTGCTAGTTCCTGTTTTTCAAAGTGGATCTATCCACATCCCCGATCAATGAACGCTAACATGTAAAAAACATCGGTCTTGTACCAGATATTTCAAAAACTAGCGTGTGCCTGCACGCCGTTCCAAAGAAATAGATTAAGGAAACATATGGAAGGGCCCGCATTCGGTGGCATTGTTTTTAGCATTTACGCATCCGCGGCCTCTCAATGACAGGATTCTGTCGCGTGCTACAGGAATCTGTCGTATTGAGAGGCTTGACGTTTATATTTTCATAAATGTGTGTCTTTCTTTCTTATTTGTTTAGGATAATTGATATGTGAACAAAATGAGGCGAGAATACCATTTACCATAAGCCATGCCCCAGCCCGCACCGTAGATGCTGGCATCTGAAGGCGGTTCTTCGCAGTGTTGAGGAAGGCAGATTGGGCGAATATACCTTGTAAAATTGACCGGTTCTTTTAATTTTAATAGTGCAAGGTCTTTCTGTAAAATAAAAAGGTTAGTTCTAACAAATACAAATTCAGTTTTTTTTTTTTTTTTTTAACAATAATACATACCATAAAAAAGGTACAGTTGTCCTGATGGGGTACACAGACATAGTCCACTTCCATGCAAATGACCTGATCTTCCAGATCGTCATGAAGCCTTTCAAGATGGTCATTTTTTCCTTTATTTCGTCGACAATGTACGGTATAATTGGTTTTTTTCGTACTTCCCAGGCGAACTGAAGGAAAGCCTGTAGTGTTCTTGTCCCTTGAAGCATTAGGGGAATCGCAGAAGAATGGCAAAACTATGAATGTGATGTTGAATTGCTGAAGTCGATGTCAAAACACAAAATGCCTCCACCATTTCAAATGATGTAGAAATGAAGAGTCAGTGAGTTCACGACGACATAATTGTCAGTCCTGATAACTACAGAATAGAAGAAATATGTACTATAGTAATATACCGAGCGTTTGTTCTAAGACAGAGCAAAAAACTGTGGCAGTACGTTGATAACAACTAAACTCCTCACACGTAGAAAATGCATTTTTCGGAGTCAGTTACTCTCGCAGGAATCATTATTCAATAGAGATTAACACAGCAACTTCCAACAAAACGGCAATCATTGTCGCTAATAACCGTCGCGGTCACATCAGATATTTAAACTGTTATTGATTTTAGTATTCAGAAATTGGCCTAAGGCAAACAGTTCAAACCACACTGACGCGGTAGTCGCACGCCCAGGGAGACAAATATATCAGACTAATCGTCATGATATGTAAAAAAAGAAAATAAACACAATTTGTGAACGAACTTAAAAATTAGTGAAAAGAAACATGTGGTTTCAACTATAAACTTGCTGACCGTTATCGAGAACAATTTCTTCATCAAATTTTACAAGGATTTGGAGTACGTGGAAAGCGCGGGTGTGATTTAGGTGCGCGACGTTGCCGGTATATATATACTTGTTTTCGCACTACTATTGGCGACTCCAACTGAACAAACGGCGCCTAGCGCTCCACATTCGAGCCTGCCCAGACGGTCTCGCGCTAATTTAAGTTTATGCAACGGGATTGTTGGTCGCATGGTGGAGAAAGCAGGAAGCTGTTCCGTGAAAGCCTGAAAGCACGTGCTTTGAGTCGCCAATAGTGTTGCACCTGTTACTCAAGCCGTAACCTTGGAGCACAACCGCGTTTCTAGGTGCTCTAAATCTTGCTCACATTTAGTGACTTGATGTTTTTTACTACGCTCAGCAAGCTTCTCATTGAAACTATGTTTCTTTTTACTAATTACAAATTTATTCGACATATTTTAGTTAATTACTCAACTTTCCGTGCGCCTTAGCCCCGGACATTATGTTCCCCTGGTCTGTATCGTGCAAACTCATGCTGCCCTGCCCTGCCCTGTCCTGTCCTGTCATGCCGGCAGTGCCGCCCCCATGCCGTCAGCACCGCCCCCTCTCTTATCTGTGTGTAAACGGCTATATAAGCAGTGACAATAAAATGACCAAGGGCTTTTTGATCATCGGATCTGGCTGCGTCGGTCTGACTTGTGAACAGAGTGCTGAACGATACATGGTGTCAGGAGTGGCTCACGCAGCCACAATCTAGACAGGCGGTCATGGAACCGCTGAAGCCGCCCGACCCTCTGCTCCTGTCTGGAAACGCTACCAAAAACTGGACGCTCTTCAAGCAGAAGTTTGAATTGTACCTTCAAGCCACGGCGCCAGAAAAAAGAAGGACGGACGCTGCCAAGACCGCAACGCTGCTGCTCATCGCCGGTGACGACGCCCTGGAAGTGTACAACAACTTCACGTTTGCCGAGGAAGAAGGCAAGACTAACTACGAGGCTGTGGTGAAGAAGTTCGAGGACTACTGTTCCGACCAGCAAAATGAGGTGTATGAAAGATACGTCTTCCGTACAATAATGCAGGGCGAAGCGGAGCCGGTGGAGCAGTTCATCCGTGACCTGAGAAAACAAGCAAGGTATTGCAACTTTGGTGAATTCTCAGATTCCATGATTCGTGACCAAGTGGTATTTGGCACCAGCAACAAGAAGCTGCGCGAGAAAATGCTGCGGGAGAGAGATTTGAGGCTCCAAAAAGCAGAACAAATTTGCAAGGCCGCAGAAGTCGCCAACAAACAAAATGAAGCGTGGCACGCTCCCGAACAAACAGTGGACTCTACCACAAGAAGCTACCGGCGCCATGCGGAGGGTTCGAGAGCCACCAATCAGTGCCCCAAGTGCAACAGGAAACATGAGCCGCGGAAATGTCCCGCGTTCGGAAAAATTTGCCGCGCCTGTCAAGGAAGGGACCACTTCGCAGCCTGTTGCAGGAAACGTGATGTCGGTGAGGTGCAGCATGATGGCGAGGATTTCGACATCTTGGACGTGAGCGTTTGCGGCATCAAGAAAGAACGGGATTGGATTGTCAAGGCCCAAGTGTCCGAACAACAAGTTTCGCTGAAAGTAGACACGGGGTCACAAACCAATCTACTGCCTCTCTCTGTGTACAACAGATTCCGAACATAGCCCGTCGTAATGCCAAGCAACGCCGTTCTTCGCTCATACAGCGGAAATGTCATTAAACACATCGGTGTCGTAACGCAGGAGGTGATCATCAACAAGCGTCACTGCCAAATCGACTTCTTCATCGTCAAACGAAGCCAGGCCATTCTTGGGCTGCAAGCGAGCGAGTGTCTGGGACTAGTATCACGAGCGGTGGACGCTGTAACGGAAGAGAACGTTGCGCCCATTCTAGAGGAATTCCGCCCACTGTTTCAAGGCACGGGGTGTGTGAAACGGGAGTACCGGATGGTGCTACGTGACGACGCGATCCCAGTGGTCCAGCCTGCTCGTCGGGTGCCCTTGACGCTACGGGAGCCTCTACGGGACGAACTACGGCGAATGGAGGCATCGGGCATCATCCGGAAAGTGGATGAGCCCACAGACTGGGTAAGCCCTCTTGTTCTGGTGAAGAAAAGTGACGGCAGCCTCAGGATATGCATGGACCCGAGAAATGTTAACGCATCCCTGAAGCGTGAACACTATTAAATGCCACAACGCGAGGAGATCGAGGCCGAACTTTCTGGAGCTGTGTTCTTTAGTAGACTGGACGCCAACTCGGGATTTCACCAGATTCCGTTAGACGAAGCGACGTCAAAGATATGCACGTTTGGCACCCCGTTCGGTCGCTACCGTTTCCTTCGTCTTCCCTTTGGTATTTCCTCAGCATCGGAAGTCTTCCAGAAAACGTGGAGCGAAATATTTGATACCTTGCCAGGTGTAAGGGTTTACGTGGGCGATATTTTGGTCTGGGGATCGTCTAAACGAGAACATGATGAGCGCCTTAAAGCCACGCTGTACGAAGCACAACGTGCCGGTTTAACATTCAACTTGAAAAAGTGCAAGTTCGGTGTACAATAGATAAATTTCTTGGGCGATGTCATTAGTGAAAATGGAATCCGTCCCATTCCCACATTAGTAAGCTGTTTACGTGACATGCCAGTACCTGCCGATAAGCTCGCGGTACAACGCATGCTTGGAGTCGTGAACTATTTTGGGAAATATTTGCCCGCGTTGACGGAGAGAACAAAGCTTCTTCGAGACCTAATTCGGAAAAACACTGTGTTCGAGTGGACGGAAAATCACATGCAAGAATGGAACACAATCTGCGAAGCCCTCAGAAGCCAACCCTTACTGGCAATTTTCGATCCTGCCAAGGAAACAAAAATAACGTCAGATGCCTCACGAGATGGTCTGGGATCCGCGCTGCTGCAGCGTCATGGCAGTGACTGGCGCCCGGTCGCATACGCTTCAAGGGTAATGACCGACGCAGAAAAGCGCTATTCACAGATTGAAAAAGAGGCCATGGGAATTACGTATGGCTGTGAAAAATTTCATCACTTTGTCTATGGACGGCGGGTTTTAATAGAAACTGATCACAAACCATTGATTGCCATTTCAACAAAGGACATCGGTGCAATGCCACCAAGACTACAGCGATTTTTTCTTCTGCTACTGATCTACGATTATGTACTACAGTTCATTCCAGGTAAACACCTGGTCCTGGCTGACATGCTTTCAAGGGCGACATCTGCTGCGTCGGGGGACACGGCCGGTTTCACCGACGTGCAGGTCCATGCGGTCGGCATTCTGGCATCACTAGCGAGTGATGAAACAAAACTGCTTTTTGCGCGGGAAACAAACAACGACCCTGAGTTGCAAGCAGTTGTGGAAAACATATCTCTTAACAAAAACATCGGAGGGGAACTGAAACCGTTCACTTCTGAGCTTTCTGTTGTAGAAGGAATTTTGCTGAAAGGATGTAAAGTACTTGTTCCGAAGAAACTACGTCCGGAAACGCTGCGGCGCATTCACGAAGGGCATTTCGGTGTCAACAAATGCAAGGCTAGGGCAAGGCGTTTGGTTTTCGGGCCGGGTTGAAATTCGGACATTGAAGCTATCGTAAGCAAATGCGGAACTTCCAAAAAGTATGCATACAGGCAGCCGAGTGAACCTCTTCTGATGCGAAAAACCCCAGATCAAACTTGGTACAGGGTAGGAATTGATCTCTTTCAATATGCGGGAAGTACCTATCTCGCCGTATTTGACTCGCACTCAAATTTCCCAGAGGTGGAAAAGCTGACCGATACGTCTGCAAGAAACGTAATCGACCAACTGGGGGCCATTTTCGCAAGATATGGGATACCAGTAGAAGTCTGCTCCGACAACGGGCCGCAATTCTCGTCCCGTGACTTCGCGGCATTCGTCAAACAGTACGAGTTCAAGCACATCACTTCTAGCCCGGAGTTTCTGCGTTCTAATGGTCTCGCAGAAAAGGGCGTGCAAATCATTAAGAGGCTCTTAAAAAAAACAAAGGATGCAAACGAAGATTTTTGGTTGGGTTTACTTAATTACCGCTCCTCACCCTTAGAAGATGGCCGTGCTCCAGGAGAACTGCTGCAGGGAAGGCGCCTGCGTATGCGGCTCCCGGACTTCAGCCAACAGCCGAGATCTCCCGTCAAAAAGCATCGCCAGCCGGAAACAGCAGGACGACGACTTGACCCTCTCCAACAGGGACAGGTCGTAAGAGTCAGAGGCCAGGTCTGGTCTCGAAAGGCTAGGGTGATGGGAGCTGTCGCGCCCAGGTCGTACCAAGTGGCAACAGAAAATGGAAAGATTCTGAGGCGGAATCGTCAACATCTCCTGGCTATGTCGGAAGAAACCAGCAACGAGTAATCAGGTGACAGCGATGATGATGATGATGA